TTACAATACAAGCCGGACAAAAGCAAAGAGGGGCTCTTTAAACTGATTTCAGGGCAGTTTCCGCTTCTCTTTTCTGTCTGGACTGAAAAGAAAAAACTTGAAAAAGGAAACAGAAACTCAAACCTTTGACATTTGGATCTAAATTAAATAAAATAAAATAAACAGCCCTTTAAAGCACCAGACAACCGAAAGCTTCAATCAGGTCAAAACCTTCTTCAACTGAACAAATCTGTTGAAAAACTATATTTTCCCCCCTCCAAGAAAAAAAAGGATTTATCTAAAAAAAATAAAAAAATAAAATAAAAATAAACAGTAGTTCAGTCTCCTTCCTTCAGTTTAGAAAATTTCAAAATAAAAGCTGCATTTCATGATCCGTCTGCTGTCCTGCTCTGGCTTCAGGTTGTTTTGGGAGAATATTTATAATAATTATAATAATAAAAATGTAGGATTTAAACACTCTGTGGGTCATTCTGTGAGCAGGGATCTGATTGGACGAGATTTTATTAGGATTTTATTGGAGCAGAGCGACGGAAATCCACTAAAATACAAAAAATGTTTCAGCATTTTGGCTACTCTGTGTTGAACTTTTGGGCTTATTGGTCATTTTTCCATTCACTTATCTGATAAAGTTTCAGGTTTAGATGGTAAATTATATTTATTGTTTGGCAGAAAAACTGAACAAAGCTAAAAAATACAGATTTATATTTATTTTCCGGCTCCCAGAAGCTTAAATCTGCTGGTGTGTTTGTTTACCCGGTTACATTTACAGGGTTAAAGACACACTTTCTGTCCAATTTCTGAGCAAAGTAACCAGAAATATGGAAATTAAGTCTGAAAATTGTTTTTACAAAACAGATTGAACTCGGATCAAACAGAAGGCGCATATCGAGGTGTTTTAGGTCGGTTTTTTGCCTGTTTTCTATAGTTTTTTTTTTGCCATTTTCAGTCTGTTTACTACAGTCCATTACAATATTTAACCTGTTTTCTGCAGTTTTCAGACTGTTTTCTACAGTTTTCAGCCTTTTGTTTGCAGTTTTCGACCTGTTTTCTGAATTTTCTGCTGTTTTTTTTGCAGTTTATTACAATTTTTAACCTAATTTTGGCAGTTTTCTGCCTGTTTTTTGCCATTTTCAGTCTGTTTTCTACAGTTTTCTGCAGTTTTCTACCTATTTTCTGCTTTTATTCTGCAGTGTATTATAATTTTTTATATAATTTTGG